GCAACAAGTGTCTATAATGGCAATGAATATAAGTGAAATTATATTAATTGTTGACTCAAATAACCTACAGTTAATTACTGCATTCAGTTCAGCTGCCATCTACTGTTAGCATTTGTATTAAAAGATCTGGGTCTCTGAAATACTGGCAATATCAGCCATTCCAGGATTTTGCAGGCTTTTTTGAAAATGTCTTTTCACCACATGTTGTGATGTTTTCAGGCATTCGTTTGTAAAATAATAAATAAATAAATAAAATAAATAATCCCCTTAAAGGGCAACTTGTTCCAGAGAGAATAAAATCTTTTTGGAGGTTTAATGTGAGACATTTGTATTGCACGCGTCTGCATCTTCAACATTAGAAACAAGGAGAACTTAAATAAGATACTTGATATTCCATAGAAGTGTGGTAGCACACTATCATTAACTTAAGATCAGAAAATATATCCCCCCCTGCAACAGTAGAAAAAGTGAACTCTTCACAACTTAGAAAGGAGAACTGAGTTTTATTTTTAGCCCAGAAGACATTGACATTATTTCACTGTCTAGGAGTGTGATCATCTGAGTCATCTTAACAAACACTCATCCTGAATTCATACTAGAAGCTGGGTAGACGTGACAAGATAAGAAACTTCAGAGACTCAAAGTAAGCTTAATCTAATCTCACCATTATTATGTGCCCATACTTGGTTTGTGGGTGGCGTAGGATTCATATGGTGTACTACATGGACGTTGGCATGATGCTGCTTACTGTCTTTCTTCTCTTCCCTCTCTCTCTGCTGTGTCACCATTGCTGGAGATCAAATGAATTCACCTACAGAGGACAGATGCTGCTGATTCCACTGGTCCTATGCTCAGTGTGGACCTGTTCCCTGGGACCTGCACAGGCAAAGCCTCTCTTGTTCTGTTGGTTGATCCTCTTTGTCTCACCAAAACAAAACAATAGTGGTATTTTGTAACTAATCTAGAGACAGAAATGACAGATTACTGGTAATTAATGTGTTAGTTATAATAGTTTTAGTATAGTTTTGGAAAATCAATGGAACTCTGTGGCACAGAAGATAATGACTTTGTCTGAATCATAATCTCCCATCTTGTGATCATCATGTGAGACATAATTGGAGAAAAACCTGAGGAAAAAAGGAAGCAGATTAATTTCATCCATCTTTTGATTTGTTAAAAACTGAATGGATCATTTTATTTAAAATAAACAAAGCAAACAAACAAAACCCGTTGCAGAGGACATAGCCCTGATTGCCTGCTCGCACAATATGGACAGCGCCTCCTATTGTCAGCACGTCAACAGCCTCGCCTCCTGGTTGGCAACAGCTTCGTGGGCTTTAATGTCACCAAGACGAAGGAAATGTGTCTAGGAAGCAATAGGAGGGCAGGACGAAGGGCCGGGAAGAAAGGTTACGACTGATCCTCCATTCCAACAGTGTTGTTGTCATAGTTATGTGGGCTTGCATGTCCATCACTTTCATTACCGTCACTTGCCACCTACTCTCGACTCTAACTTCTACTCTTTTTGTGTGTTGCTATGGTATGTATGGTTGTGTACATTGTGTGTTGATATATGCCCGCGCCAACGACGAATTTCCATCTCATGCAAAGTTAATGGAAAATAGAGAAATCTGAAGACATTAAAACCCACAGGTCAATAAGACCAAACGATAACATGACAAAGAGCAAACATAAGCAATTAAATGTCAAATTACAGTTCTCTGAATACGAGCCTCTGCCATCAGGAAGAAGACTGTGTGTGCAAAAGTGCAAATCAAACAGAAGTGAACAAACTGAAGTTATCGTTCATCCTGACTTCTATCAAGCTTTTGAACAACAAAACTAAATCCTAGTTCAATAGGGCAATGTGCAATAAACAAACCAACACCATAGCACCTTCATTCTTAAAGTCTCTGGCAGTCTATTTTTAAGCTGCCACAATGCCAGTGTTAAAATTCTTCCATGTTTTTAGATGTTTTTATGTTGATTTGGTGATTGTTTTTTGATGTGTGTCTGTTGGCTTGTTTCTGGCATTAGCAGAAGCAACAAAAACTTGTGCACTGTACCCAAAGACTAATTTCCACTCCTTCTATTTTAAGACACTCCGTCTGCTCTCTTTCTATCAGTGAGATCTGTTAGACTTTAGACGACGAAGCGACCCTGGCAAACTTTGGAAAACATGTTTGGGCCTGTGAGCCTGTTTCCTGCACTACACATAACCTGTTAAGGTTTCTGCTTTTACATTTCATTTTTTACTGCACTGAAAGTAGGGGAATAGAAATGAAGTAATTAATTTAATAAAGCTTCGCCATGAGACAACAATATGGGCTGTCTCCAATTTACTCTGCCTGAGCGATCACCCTGCAAACAGATTTCATTGAGGTTGCACCAGATACCGATCAGAATAGTACTTTAATTTTATCCCTGAGGGAAAATCAGCATCCAGTAGCAGCATACAAACATACATTAAACATATATTAAAATAGAAAACTATACGAGTAAAAGTAGAAATAAAATAGCTTTTATAAATCAAACAGTTTTTATTAAACTATGTGCAATTTAAATTTAGGCTGTCGACCAATGAATGAAAGTCACAGCATTTAGCAGACAACCAGACCTACAAACAAATGCAATGTTACTATAGTATGCATTCATATCATATATATTAAAGACTACTTTTTGAAAAGTTAAGTTTGCACAATAACCAAAATCATGTTAAATAGAATTTCAATAAGCTGTGCTGCAAGCTGGCATTTTACCTACTTCAAGAGCAGCAAAACAACAAAAGCTTGTTTATCTGTAAGATATCAGTGTAAGGGAGTAGTTGTAACTTCGTGCCGCACTCCTGTTTCGAGTGTGTGAAGTTCAGAACCAACTCTGTGAATTTAATGTTGTTTTGAATGGGCACGCTATTGGCTGTCCTAGGCGGGTGCAATACTTCACTGGTAAACCCCTAGAAGCCTCTCTGGGAAACCGAGGGTTGAGCTGGTTAAAGTAGTCTGTGAGTTTAGTGGTGAATTAATAAGGGTATTGAGGACTGTGGAATTTCTCTGGCAGCCAAACATCTGGTATTGTGACACACCGGACTGACGTCAAAGAGACAAGCAGAGACAAAAGCCGATTGTTGTGTCTTTGCCAAAAAGAGATACTTTTCCTTACCCGCCCTGTTGATCTTACGAGATGTAACAATGTTTGTTTTCTTTATTTCATTCATTTGAAGTGATTTGTTTATAGGCGGTGGTTTTCAAAGCTTAAGGAAACACACTTTAAAAAGGTGTAACATGCAAAAAATAAAACATAATAAAGCAAGTATTGTCTTTATTTGTACCACAACCTTTTGTTAGTTGTGCTCATTATTTGGGTATAACGTCAAATGAGAGGAGATTAAGTGAGATTTTGTGCCAAGGATGCACAGGATTAAACTATAGTTATTCATAAAATGTTCATGTAAGGATACTTTCTGTTCAGTTGGTTGTATGCATACATTGACATAGTGACTTACAGTTTCCTGGCACATTTGGTTTGCCATGAATAATGAGAAATACAAATTTGATCGCCAAAAGGAGGCTCAGCAGGCCTCAAAGGGGCAGTATCATCAGAGACACAGGAATGCCTAATGCAGTTCTCAAACTGTGGGGTGGAACAAAGTCGGATGAATATAGATAGATAGATAGAAATACTTACTTCTCCTTATTTTATCCCCGACAGGAACATTATACTGTAATCAGCAGCTTGATTAACGCAGTCAATTTGAGATTAAATCTATTATATTATTATTATTATTATTATTATGTAAGGAAAAATTAAACAAGAAGTTTGCCTGCTGCTTACTGTGGCTCACCATTTTTATTCCGCTACAAATTTTAATTGGGACATTTAACATTTTTATATTTTTATATTTTTAATTGGTTCCATTGTTCTCATGTTAAATGAATGTAAAGAATTGCTGGGGGGGTGGTGGCCTGTGATTTTTTGTTGTTGTGTTAAGAGTGAGATGAGATAAGATGTTTCTTTTATGTATCCCTTGTAGGAGAAATTCAAGTTTGACAACAGCCAGGCACAAAATAGGTGCCAAATAGTAGGACGAGAGTAAAAACTACATAAAATAATAATAAAATAAAATTATAAATAAACGATAAGACAATCATAATGAACATATGTACGACGAAGTATAAAGGGCCAAGACTAAAGATACAACAACTATTTTATCTTTTGGGGGAATTACAGAATGAACAGATTCAACAAAATCTAACAGTAGCTACAAGTAATACCATTGCAAACAGTAAATACAGTGCAAATGGATCTGTGAAAATACAGGTAGACATTGTCCATTGTCTATGTGTCTAATCTGTCCTCCTGCCTTTACCTGAGAGCTTTGTTGGTCAGTCCTGATGCCAGGGGACGCGAAAGTAAAGAGAATACATCAATAATACGTAGAATTAAAGCGTCAGTAATAATACGAGAATAAGTCATAATATTAAGAAAGCCAATTACAATAAAGCTCATACATGTTTAAGAGAATAAAGTCATAATATTAACACACATAAACGTTCATAATAATACAGAAAGAAAGTGTAAAATACGAGAAAAAAGTCATAATATTAAGAAATAAGTCATAATAGTTAAGAGATACAAGTCACAATAATAGGAAAAATAAAGTCATGAATACTTAACGTTTACGAGAATAAAGTCTCCGTCGTAAAATATATATAGGCTACTTAATTAATTAAAAATATTTGTTGCACACCATATTCCACTTTACTGCATGCAATAAAGTGGAATATGGTGTGCAACAAATATTTTAAACACATGCAAAAATGTAGAGTTAAACAAAACAGGTTATTATCACATACTATAAAAATATAAAAACATAACTTTTAATTGTATTTTTCTCTTCTGTTTTTTTTGTTACCTCTCGGCTGACGTCAGGCGATTGCCGGAAACACTTCGGCTATCTTCGGCTAGTCACGTGATCTCCGAGGAGGAGAAAAAAAAAAAAACCCAAAACACACACACACACACACACACGGGCTAGCACAGAGCTGTAATGAAACTGAACCAAAAAGCTCATCTACAAACTGAATTCACAATGTTCGGCGTACAGATTTTATCGGTGAATTAGTTACCGACACGGGGAAACTAAGTTAATGCTGGTGAGCTAAGCAAGCTTTGGGTTCTCTTCGACAACATGAATTTGAGAGGACTCTTTCAGGACTTCAACCCCAGGTAACGTAGAGCTAAATGTTAGGCCGGGCGGGTGTTTTCTGCTGCTGCTGTCGGACCGAAACACGCAGAAATGTTGCGTTTTAGACGAGTGGAGAGTGTTTCTGCATGTTTCTAGTGGCTGAGCAGAAAGGTGAAAGGTAAATAAGTTTAATAGTTAAAGCGACATGAAAGTATCTGGCTAAACGAGGCCCGGCTAACAAGGCAGCTAAGAGATTTTCTGCACGTCGCTTTCCAGAAATTATATTAAATGCGAGTTTTAGTCCATTTTTAACGCAGGTTATCTGTTATTATAGGCGAGATACGTGTTTTAAACCGTAGCACACACTGTTGTAGTGTTTTAATGAGTTGCAAAGGCCTCAAACAGCCACAGCTCTCTTCTAAAATGATAATAATAATATAATAAGGCAAAAAAAAAAGACATTTCAGGGTCCTGCTGTAATGGGAACTACAGGAATGAGCCAGATAAGTTGCAATAAAAGTACAAAATCAAACATTAATTGTATAATCCAGCAGTAGTGTTAGAATAAGTCGAGCCCTGATGTCGCAGATGCAGTTCAGTGAAGTTTCCCCATCATTAGGTGGTCTAATGTAATGACAGTCCTGGTTTTACTGCAGGTTGGTTGGGACTATTTGCTGGTTTGACACTCACATTATTGTGTTATATCTCCATCCTGTTAAGGTCAATTTCCTAACCACATGTTTTTCCTTATCTGTCTCCATCATCATAACTTTTAAAGGGTTATTATGTTATGTAACTGTTATATACAGCGAGTCTGTTCCACCTTTATGTGCTTCTATATCTTGACACACACTCTCCACACATCCCATCTTTTTTTCGCATTGTTTTTAAGATATAAAAGTGATTTATTTGACCGTAGTTGCTCCAAAACATAAGGATTATTATGTTATATACAGCAAGTTTGTTCCACCTTTATGTGCTTCTATATCTTGACTTCTCACTTCCACACATCCCATCCTTTTTCGCATTGTTTTTAAGCTAAAAAAAAGAATAATTTGACCGTAGTTGCTCCAAATCGTAAGGTAACTTATGATTATGCTTCGTATTAACTGTCCCATCGTTTCTCCCCCCCCCCGTTGCAGTAAGTTCCTGATCTACTCCTGTCTGCTGCTCTTCTCCGTGCTGCTGTCGTTGAGGCTGGATGGGGTCATTCAGTGGAACTACTGGGCCGTGTTCACCCCGATATGGCTGTGGAAGCTGCTGGTCATCATCGGGGCCTCCGTGGGCACCGGAGTCTGGGCACACAACCCCCAGTACAGGTGGGTTCTTTAACGTGGGGGCATTCGTGGCTCAGTCGTCTGCAGTCAGGTTATAATTCAGCCTTCTTAAATGGTTTGTTTTCATCCTCCGTTAGGGCCGAAGGGGAGACGTGTGTGGAGTTCAAAGCCATGCTGATCGCCGTGGGACTCCATGTCCTGTTGCTGATGTTCGAGGTGTTGGTGTGCGACCGCGTGGAGAGAGGGAACTACTTCTGGCTTCTCGTCTTCATGCCCCTCTTCTTCGTGTCGCCCGTTTCCGTGGCAGCTTGCGTCTGGGGGTTTAGACACGACCGCTCCCTCGAGGTAAGGAATCGGACACGTGTGGTTATAAAGTGACACCAGAGGGAACCGGTACGAAACCTACGACGGAGTGTTAGGGCCAGACTAAGAGAAAAAAATAAATAAATATATATGTATATATATATATAATGGGAATAATATTATGAGAATAAAGTCGTATCTTGATAACGCTATCAAAGCTTTTTCTCATTAAAACGATTATTATTACATTATTCTCGTATTATTACGACTTTTTTCTTTTAATATTATGACTTTATTCTTGTTATATTACAACTTTTTTCTCGTAACATTATTACTCTTTTTCTCTTAATATTACGACTTTATTCTCGCAATATTACGACTGTATTCTCGTTATATTGCGACTTTATTCTCGTATTATTACGACTTTATTCTTATAATATTACAACTTTATTCTCGTATTATTACAAATTTATTCTTGTAACATTACGACTTTATTCTTGTAATATTACAACTTTATTCTTGTTATATTCCGACTTTATTCTCGTATTATTACGACTTTATTCTCGTAATATTACGACTTTATTCTTGTTATATTCAGACTTTATTCTCGTAACATTAAGACTTTATTCTCGTAACATTATGACTTTATTCT